TTCCCTACCTTTTCAATATAAGATATACTTTAATCTACAGTGAACTACAGCTGTATAGTACTCCACTTCTACTAATACAAACCAAACTCCTTTACTTAAAGTTAAAACAATTATTATTTTTATTAGTATTTAATATATTTTTAGAACACCTGACAAAAATTTTGCTAATGCAAATAAAGATCCATAAAATTAATATACTCTTTAACTAATATAAATATTAGTGAAACAGAAACTAATAAATATTTAAATATATTAAATAAATAACTATTGTCTGGCAAAAACACCTGAAATCATTTTATTTTTTTTTTTGTTTGTTTTTTTCTATAATTATTATCTTTACATATTCTTTTATTGGGTGTAGACATCTTGACAATTACGCAAGAAAAAATAAAACTAAATACATAATAATGGCGAAGGTTAAAAAATATGTATAATTCGAATTTATTTTTAGCTTTTTAAGGATTTTGTTGTTGTTATTAACTTTTATTTACTTCTGTTATTTATATTATCATTATAATATTTTTGTAATTTTTTTTCAGCACATTTTTGTGTATATTTGCAAAAGTGTTTTAAAATTTTACACAACGAATTTATTTAACAGGTTCAAAACTTTTAAGACAGATTTATTTTTATTTTTAGTATTCAACCTGTAGACAGACAATAATTTATGCGTTAAAATTAAAATACATTGTTATTTGCTTAAAAGCGATATAATTATAGATTTTTTTTTAATGATAACATTTTTTTGTGAATACAATATATTTTTTTAAGCACTTGAAAGTCAAAAAAGGAAAAGTATAATCAATAAAAATTTTTGAAATTTTTTTGTATATATTTGAAATAATGCGATTGAGATTTTAAATTTTATATTTGTACGTATGTAATATAAATTATGTAAGGTATATATATATTAATACCTATTGGTGTTATATGCACATACAAATATATTTATATATTTATATATTTATATATTTGTATTGCTTTTAAAGTATTTCTTTTTGTATTGCTTTTAAAGCATTGTAAAATGCTTTTATAGCATTTTATGCTACAAGGAATAATATTTCTGGAAATATTTTAACGAAATGTTTGAAAAGTTTATTGAAACTCTTCAAATTGATTTATTAAAATTCGACTGTTACTTACCAATTTTTTAGGGATTTAGTCTTAAATTTTTGGTCCTTTAATAAATAACTGAATTAACTGTAAAAGTATACGAGTGACACTTCTCATCATTTCTTAACGTATAATGCCGGATTGCTTCTGATATTTTTAAAAATGCTACTGCATTCCCTTTTATTTATTTTTTAAAACATAATATTATCCATACAAATAATAAGACGCTTTTTTGGATATCAAGCACGTCTTTCTACTCCTAATATATAAATAGTTATAACAGCATTTGTCATTTCTATTAAAAATTGGAAAATTGCAAATGTCGTATTACTATATTTTAACACTATTGTTATATTACAGATCATTTCTACTCTACTATAGAAAAATTCATTTCTGTTCAGTTACACACCTATAGTTGGATTTTATTCGCTTATGAATACCAAACAAATGGTCAAGCGATAAAATACGATTTGGAGATTTGTACTAAAAGCCATATTATGTAGAGTGTCATGGGCTCATCATAAGCAAAATTATTGTCGGTTCAATGCAAATTATAAAATTACAAGTGAGAGAAAAAACAATATATCGATTTTAATTTGATCATGAGAGCCAATGCTATCTGTGGCTCTTCACTTAGATAAAGCAGTGTTATTCAGGAATAACAAATGTCAACATTTATGTCTGTTAGAAGCAAATTATTACAATTTCTATGACACTCTGCATAACATGCCTTTTCGTCAAAGCCCAAAAGAGACAATTTAACGCCGAATGAATGATAAACAAATACCAATCATTCTACTCGTGTAAGTTTGGGGTATAACCACAGCCACTAAGAATCAGCACAGCCGATGCTGCGAGCCACTGACCACCGTAGTACTAGATTTACACCTCTGGTCGAGTGTCGCAAGTGGGGCGGCCATTTACTACCATGTACACTCTTGCACAGTGTCGGTATAGCGCCGGGATTTTAGTCGCCTCTTATGACAGGCATGCATACCTCGGAAATATTCTAATCCCTTACTCGCAAGGGAACTTTTCTTTAAAGACACTAGATCTACATGTTGTTTTACGTAGCATTTAATGCCTAACACTACGGTGTTCAAAAACACAACGTATTGATACGAAGCGTCAATCAACGCCCTATTAGAATATTCTTAGTAATTCCGACGGTACCAATGAAGAGATGCATGCAAGACATAATTTCCATCTTGGTACAATGCCAAGCCCATCTTAAACCTCTGCTACAATGTGGGTTGTAGCACCCAAAATTTTGTGAACCAAAATTGAACAGTCTTCCCGCGTAAGTTGGCGTATTAACCACAGCCACTACGAGTCCGACCTCAACTGGTCAGCACAGCCGAAGCTGCGGGTCGCTGACGCCGTTGTATTGGATTTACACTTCCGATCGTGTGTCGCAAGTGCAGACTTCACTTACTACCATACACACTTCTGGCATAAGTATCGGCGTGGCACCGGGATTTTAGTCGCCTTTTACGACAGGTATGCCTTACCCCCGAAATATTCTAACCCCTTCACCGCAGGGGGTTACTTTAAAGACAGTAAAATTAACTTTAATAGATTGATACTTTTATTTTATAATTGTGAAAACTGCTTACACAAATTTATAAAAAGTTTCATTTCATGAGACAAAAAAAAAATCACATTAATCTTAACCCAAACAACAACGCTATAGATTGGAATTGGTTACCTTCATTAACCAAGATTTAAGAATATTGGACTGATACTTTAGTCGTAACTAAAATGCAGTTTTGTATATGTACTAAGGTACTAAGGTAGTTATGTACTAAGGTAGTAGAAATTATTTAAAATAATGATTTTATACTTATTTTTTCTTCGTTTATAATTAGAGCAATATTTCTAGTCACATAATTAAAGTTACAAGCTCCTGTAGGTAGCATATATTATATTAATCATTTTGTAGGACAGGAAACTCTCATAATTTTATACCAACAAATTTTAGAAGCTGCTATACTAATAACTAAAAATTTTAAAATTACTTTTTTTACTTAAAATAAAAATAATAAATATGATATGAATAGATATAAAAATAATATACAACTTTTTTGTTTGTTTTCCATAATACATTTTATTAAATTATTTATTTTAATATATTTCCACTAACAATGCTTAAATTAGCTGATTTGGAATTATATATACTGTTTCATTAATGGATTCATTAGTCTGTGGGAATTTTCATATTAAATCCATTTTAAGCATATATTAAATGTGATTAATTGTCTTGTCTAGACAAATTTAATATATACAATTGCATAATAACCGAAAATAGATTATCGTATTATGTTTGCTTAGTCACATTTAAATATATATATACAAAATTAAGTATTCCATATAAAAATATTTTTAAAAATCAAAATTTAAAATTTCATTTTATTTTAATAACAATAGCCATCTATTTTTATTGCATATAGAGAGCTTTTATACTGAAATATACATATATTAAACTGCAAATAAATATGCAAAATTTTTGAATAATTTCAAATAAATCCATTTGAGATACAATACTATTGTATTTTCATTTTGGTTTTTAAAAATCATATCTATTTTTATTAATGAAGCTTCTATAGAATTGTAATATTTAACCTATTTAATACTTTTATTGTTATTAACAGAACTTTTAAATATAATGGTATATATATATTCAACAGGTAATAAACTGAATTGTGTGAGTATCATTATCGGTGTTTTATTATTTTCTATATTATAAAAATATATTTGGTCTTACTCCTCATCATCCTTCTTGTTCTCTCGCTACTACAGTTTAGAAAATAATAAATGTACATTAAATGTTGTTGTTAATATTATAAATCTATTTGGGTAGGCCAGTAAATAAGAATATTAAATAGTAAATAATAATATCATGGGTGTTTTATTATTTTCTATATTATAAAAATATATTTACTCTTACTCCTCATCATTCTTCTTCACCTTCCCTCGCAGCTATATTTTCACAAATAATTAATATACGTTATGTGGTTGTTAATATTATAAATCTATTTGGGTAGCCCAGTATATATAAAATATTTTTGGAAATTGAAAAGATGAGGTATTTTATGTATTTAAAAGAATGTATAAAAAATTATAATTTAATTTATTAAATTACCAATTAATAAACATTTTTCAAAAACCTAATTACTTTTTCTAAAATTTTTTTTGAATTTTTTATTAAAAAAAATTTATATTTTCGTTTAATGGGTAAATTCTATGTATTTTAGAAATTATAAATAATTTTAAAACTAAATTTTAAAACTTCAAAAATATATTTTAATAAAATTGAATTTTAACTTAAATAAAATTAAAATTTAATTTTAATTAAATATTCTAATATTTTTGTTTGTATTTAATGTGTAAATTCTATGTATTATATAAATTACAAATAATTTTACAACTTAAAAAAAAATAAATTTTAATAAAATTGAATTTTAATTTAAATAAAATTGAATTTTAATTTAAATAAAATTAAAATTTAAATTTTAATTAAATATTCTGAAAATTTATGTATTTAAAGCCTAAAAAAAACTATACAAACTATAATAAAAAACAATAAAAAAACTTAAAGAATATTTGAAAAATGTCAAATCCAATAAACAACTTAATAAATATACTATACAAAAAGGTATTGAAAAGTGATATATAAAACTGTTGTAAATTATATGTTTTATGGTAAAAACAAAAATAATGCAATTAAAAAAAATTAAATCAAAATTCAAAACGAAAGAAGACTCTTCTGAAAATATTTTGTCTATCCAACAAAATTCCAAATAGTTAAAGTAGAATTTCACAAATAAACTTCGTCGTATTCAAAGTGCAAACGAACAATAACAACGATTATGGTGTTTGGCTGCATTATGCATAAAATATCTACATTAACAAGAATTCTACTGCTTCTCACATTACTACTATTTCAACTCAATATACAAAACAATGTTGCTAACGCCAACCAAGCATTGACATCGAAAACAGTCGCTTCCGAACAAAGTGCCAGCACAGAAATTATATTAAATTTTCAAACATTCGAAGAAGAAGCTACCGACAATAATAACTCAACAAAAAATATTATCCAGAATCATCATTTAAATCGTCATGCTGTGATACGCAAGGAAATCATATTTGTTGCACTGCTGCCTAGTCAAGAATTGGAAAATAAAAATGATTGTATCAGACCAAAAGTATTACCAGTACTGGAACTGGCTATAGCTCACATACAACGGTTGGGTTTTGGTCCATCCGTTCATGTTGATTTTAAGCTCATTTCACGCGATACATTTTGCTCATCAATATTCGGTCCAATTGGTTTTTTCGAGATATATACCAAATGGTCGGAAATACATGCAGTATTCGGTTTACCATGTGATTACGTTCTGGCACCGATATCACGTTATGCTGGTGTCTGGCAAATTCCTATACTCACTACCGGTGGTAATGCAGGCCATTTTGATAAAAAGGATGATAGCTATCCAACACTGACACGTTTGAGAGGTGCTGAAATGAATAATCTCGGTAATGTGGTACGTGCTATTATAGATAGTTTTAACTGGACTCGTACTGGTTTGATATTTCAAAATGATGATATAAAAGTGAAAGGTAATTCCGTATGTTTCTTCTGTATGACTGTAGTACATGATAAACTAAGCAAACCATCAATTTTCCAACAAGGATTTGATACAATTATTAATAAAAAATCAAAAGTTGAGGAAATGTTACGAAAAGTGTCAAAACAAACAAGAAGTAAGTATTAATTTATATTCTTTTAATAAACAATTATTAATTCTTAAGTTAAAAAAAAATATTTCTAAAATAATATATCTCTAATGGTATCTCTAGTGAAGAGATTATTATATTTTGAGAATGGTTTTTTGATTACGAATGTAATTGATAAAATTTTATGGAATCGTTTCTTTAAATATTATGCCCAACTGTAATCTAAATACTTCCTGGAAACATCTCGTAAAATTTAGATTTGGTTCATAGGTCTAATATGCAATATATATTAGAGTGTGATTTTTTCAATATCTACAGAGATACAATGATTCTTATACATTACTAAAGTTTTTGAGAACTTCAATAGTTTTTGAGAACTTCAATAGAGAAAAAATCGAATCAAAAAGTGGGATTATTTTCAATATGTACAGAAATACAGGGGGTTTAAGAGAACTTCAACAGCAAAAAATATGTTATTAAAATAGAGCGGAATTATTTTTAATATTTACATAGTAGCAAGGCGTTTAAGTAAACTTAAATTAAACAAAAAAATTATTCATTCAAGCAGCTAAGACTGCATACCAAAAAGTAGATAGGTCGCTTCTAAAAATTATTATAAGAATATGACTGAAGATAAAAGCAAAATAATTTCACAAAAAATGTTCTCAGGATAATAAGATATTAAAATATAAAGATCTTCAAGAATCATCCAACATTTTCCAAAAAAACGGATATCAAAGCAACATGATTTTCAAAACAATTCAATACAAATACCTACGATATTAGGCATTGATTTAATGAATATTTAATGGATTAAAAAATGATGTACTGCAGTTTACATAAATAAGCTTTGAAATGTTCGACATTTTTTGACTGCATATTTTTTTAAAAGATTTCTCTTAAATTGACGTCCAACTTTCTGTGGACACCCCAAGAAACATCCTATATATAATATGAGCCACATTGAATGATATAGAAACTGAAATACTTCTTAATTAAGATTGAATTTAGACTTATTTTAACATTTTCAATCTGTAGCTCTATTATTGAGTTATTATGATAATACCAGTCTTAAATATAATAGTCTTGACAATTAAATTGAGATGTGGTCCTCTGTAACGAACCTTTCTCGTCGAGGATTCGCTCGCCGGATTCCAGGTTCAGTCCTACAATAAATTTATTTGATAGGAGCAGTGGAAAATTTGCGATGGTATGACGTATGACGTAGACAGAGGTTTTGCTACTGAAATCTAGGTTTCTCTACTGTAAAATCAATGGATTCGTGGTAGAAATGTAAATTTCTTGTACGGTTAATAACGAAATGTGAATTTCGTTTGTCCAGGAATGATTTATTGATGATCGCAAATAGGAATTGTCACTAACGAAATGTTGGTGACATTTCGCCTTTTATACCGGAGAAGTGTGATGTATGCTGCTGTTTTGTTCTTGTGAATGCAACGGTGTTTTGTTTACAAGTTTTTATTATTGTTCTGTTGTTATTTATTGTATTAAATTTGGTGATGGTTTTTAATAATATTGTTACTTTTGCTATTGTTTTATTATTATTATTGTTCTATGTTGTGGAATAAAATTTAGTATGTAAAATTTTATGTTACACCTCTATGATACCATTTCGGATTACACCGCAACTTTTTAATCGGTTGCGAAAAGCATCAACCCTCGGAGCCCACATTCAACTTTACTTTACGTTGATTTTACATAAAGAGTAACATACTCTGTTCACAACCCAAACTAAAAGTCCTGAAGGGACTTGATGAATGCATTATAAATTTATTTCCAAACTGGTTCTAGTTAATTATCCAGCGATGTAACGTGGAGCCAGTGCGACAATCGTATTTTCCAGTTTAAACACAATCAGCAACGTTGCTTAAATACTCGCTCCAACTGGCTCCCACCCTTCCTTCCATACTACTTAATCGTTTCTGGTTAAGTGATTGGTTTAAATTAGATCCTTTATAAGTTAAATGTAAATGACTGTTTTGTTTTTTGGTAATTTTAAATTAAAATAACATGACAGTTTACTGAAATATTACCACTTTCCTAAAACAGCATCAAATATGAGGGATGAATGTATTATTATTAAAACTTTAGAATTAGAAAAAGAGAGATTCAAAATTTAAAAGTATTGATCTTTTGCGTTTATAAATATATACACAATTTAGAAGATAGTTATTTCTGGATAGAGAGGAAAAAAAGTAAGTTCGACTGAATGTAAACCAAACACAAAATTAATTTATGGAAAACTTTGTTCTTAATTTAAGTACAAATCATTGATCTACTTCTATTTATTCAAAGATAAATCTATTTAGCAATGCATTTATTTCAGATTAATATCTAACAAATAAAATAAGAAAATATATTACCAATTTGTTTAAATTTTTCCATGACATTTATAAAAAGAATTTGTCAATATCTATTTCATGCTATTTAAATATTTATATCATTAAATTTTTATTTTAACACTTAAGCATTTTATGGAATAATTAAAAATATTTAATTGCCTTACCGCCAGACAAACTTTTCACTTAATGCATATTAAACAGTAACAAAAAACGAGCCGAACAAAAATAGAAACATTAATACTTTTTTTATTTATAAACATTTATATTAAGAACATCTGATGGTATTTGAATAATTTTGCTTTTTCTCTTTTATTTTTTGTAATTTATATACATTCACGATGACATATGTTTTTTATTAGGATGGGATCTATTAATTTAAGCGGCAATTAATGGCTCAGTTTTTAGAAAAGCTTCCATAAAGTTACCAAAAAAATAAATAACTAAACAAAATTCAATGACATCAAGACCAACAAATTGGAATAAAATAATTAACGAACTATGGGTAGCAGTGGATTTCAGTTGAGACGTATAATAAAAGGGCATTGTTGTTGTAGGTAAATCATAATATGTACTAGATCAATCACAATTAAGGCGCATAGTTATGTTTGAATTCAGCATCTAACAAATTCAATGAGCACTCAGCTCATTCATAACTCTGTAGATCTATTTGGTTTATGTCAGATGTAATTGGTTTGTGTCAGACTCAATTGGATTGTATACATATAGTAGTTAAAAATAATAAAAACTAAATAATGCATTCATTTCAATATATTAAAACGACTAACTTGAAATGGAACCAAGATGAATTTTGAATAATATATATGTTGTTGGTTCCAATAATAAACATAAATAAGAGACATTTGTGGTTGAACGTGATTGACCTCCCCATTGAAATGCAATAATTTGAAGAAGGCTTGTTTTCAAATCAACCACAGTGTCAGGATTATCCGTATAAATACGATTATTTTTGCGTGATCTTATAAAAAAACTCTAAATATAACATACTGCACGATATTGTTGACAAACTCACGTCATCAAAATATCCAATTAGAGATTATAAAAATTCGGAGTATAATACCTTTCGATTTCAATCTTTGAAATTCATGTCTTTAATTAACGTTAAAAAAAATTGGTGATCATATGATTATTGCTATCAGAATTAACAATTTGTAATATCTTAATTGGTTAAATCAATTAATCATCATAAAAAATAAATAGGTGGTTTGTACTTCGTGTACATCATAATATACAGCGAATATTTACAGATGACGAAGACTTTCGACAGTTACCTGTGAATGTTTACGACCCCAAATACACCAATTTTGTTTTTCGAGATATCTATCAAGCAAACAATAATCCTCATTCCTTAAAAAATATGTTACCAAAAATCGTTTTCATATTTGTAGTAAAATTTTAATAATTCAGTAATTGAGGAACATTGTTAAACCTTAGACTAAATATATAATGTTTTGTGTGACGCCCTATTTGGCACACGTGACTGAAACAATTTTCCAATATCAGGACCACGAAATGTATAACTCTTAAATATACTCCAAACATTGCGGACTGTAGTAGCATTAGGTAAATGTAGAATTACATATAGTAGAAATGGTTTCATATAGTAGAAATGTTACGCTAGATAACCTACTGATCGCTAAATTGCATATCTCAATTGATACAACAAGTTCATAATACGAACTTTTCTTTGTGATTATTATAAATTATCCACAACGCGTTTAGATGTGCCACAACGCGTTCTTATCGTTTTTGCGCCTAAAATATATTAATATAAAGTAAATATAAAATATAATTTTTTATTTTTTGATATCTATGTATAATATTTTCTTCAATTATAAAAAACAATCAATATATAAAAAAAAATATATCAAATAGAAAAATGTATAAGAAGTAAATTGTTTACTTTTGTTTGTGTCTTCGACTTTTACATATAATCAATCCTAAGCAACAGATAGCAATTAGGAATCGATCTGTTTTTGTTAACAATCTAACCTTTTACTGCATTTAATAAATTCTGCTTTTAAATCGTTAAGTTCACCATATGTTCAAATACAAGCGTTTTATTTTTGGCATCCGTTTATAAATTTTTTTTATCTACAAATATATTTTAAGGTCGTAGTAGCATAAATATAATATTTCAACTGTTACTAATTCCTTTCGTTTCTTCGGAAATTGCATTTAAGCGGTTTTAATTTGAGAATATTTTTTTTTGTAGAAAAACCATAACAAAATTGAAAATGCGGAAATTTCTTTCATTCATATAAAATTTGCACTTAAACGGAGTTTCATTTAATGGAAGCTCTATTCCTACTGCATAATGGATTTGCAATCCTTCTGAAAGTGCTATGGACTCCCTCCACTGTTAAGCCGTTTAAAATTTTTCAATTTAAAAAAGATATTTTTTATTAATTTTTTTAGATTTATTTTGAATAACTTAAAGCTGTCTTAATAAATTTGTATATATATCGTGGTTATATATTTTGTCAGCGTTGAAAGAAAAAATTGAGGGTTATCATTGTATATATTATATTGGTGCCACAATCTAAATATATTTTTTAAATATTTATAAACAATTTTGATTTTAAAAAAATTGAATTTCCTTTTATATATTTAAAAAATTAATAAAAAAGTTAATATTGGCTTATG